CCCTTACCCCGCCCACCCCCATTCCCTTCTGCCCGGTGCCTTTCCAACCACTTCCACTATCTCAAAAGGTTCCTTCCCCCTCAGGGTCTGTGGGCTAGGCTGACAGGAGTCCCAGGTGACACCCAGGAGAGTCCCCACCCTTGGGCCCAGCCCCTGCAGGGCCCTCTGAGTACCCACACAGTAGGTTCAGAGAGAGAATTACTTAAGTGAGCCTCCCTGGCTGTGGAGCGCGGTGTCGCCAAGGCAGAGCCAACATCCTGCAGGGAGCACTGGATCTGGGGAAGCAACAGAAGGTGCACATGAAGATCTATTGTTGGGGGCCAAGCAGAGGCAATGTGGTTCCCAGTCCCCTGTGCAACGGTGCCACCTAACTGAGCAAGGGATGTGGGGCTGGCCTGTTGGAGACTGTCAGAACCTTTAATTAGCTGGCATTTAAAGGCTAATTAGCAAACTCCAAACCTTTAGCAGGCTGGACATCAGCCCTGTTGAGAGGGGACCTGGCTCCCTTGGGGATAGCTGGGTTACAAAGACAGTGAGCTTCAAGTGCCCAGTGATGGTCAAGAGGAATCTGCTCGGCCTGGCCCTCATCTCCCATGTGCCTGGGTCGTGGGAGGGTTTTCTTATCTCTAAGCTGACAGCTTTGTTTTTCTAACCTGTAATAGTTGAGCCAAGAGACGACACCTGACAGTGCTTTCTCAATTATGAACTGAAACTTTGGACACGTCCTGTGTGTTCTAAGGAAGGCATCCCTGTCTCTAATTCTGAAGTCCTCTCTGTGAATCAGAGCCTCCAGTGCTTTTTGAGAAGAACAGTTATACTAATAACCACAAGCTCCCCTGGCTGAGGGTTTACTGCAGCCTAGCTTCTGGCTTTCTCACTCTCGGTGCTGCTGACATTTTGGGCCAGGTCATCCTCTGTGCTGGGGCTGTCATGTGCATTGTGGGAGGTAAGCCACATCCCTGACCTCTACTCACAAGATGCCAATAGCACCTCCACCTCCAGCTGTGACAAACAAAAATGTCTCCAGACATTGCCAAATGTCCCCTGGGGGGCAGAGACCACTACCCTTTACATTTCCCTCCTTTAGTGCAATCCTCACCACTTGCCTATGAGGGAGGATTATCTGTGTGTCCCCATTTTACAGATGGGGAAACTGAGGCTCAGAGGAAGAGTGACTAGTCCCAGGTGACACAGAGATGAAGTGATGATCAAATGGCATATATGGCAAATCCAGTTACGGTCACCAGAACTTAGGGATAAAAATAAATCCCAGCTTGGGACGAGACATTACTCACTTTCTCAAGCTCCTCAGCAAATGGGTGGCCCTTTTCTGCAATTAATTCCATAGCAAACCTATGAGAGAAAAGGAAAAAGAATTTGCCTCCAATATCATGTCCCCCAGGCCCTGTTTTGCTATAAGGCAATAGATTCTCAGGTGATGGGCCATTTAGCTAATTTGGTTATAATAGCCACAGTGTTATTTCTTGCTGACAATAAGAACATCATAACTTTCCATTTGGTTAAGGGTATTTGTTTCTCAAAATGCCTTTTCTTATACTCATTACTTATCCAGTCAACAATTCCTTTCTCAGTGCCTACTTTGGCCAGGTCCAGGCAATTCAGTAGTGAGCAGAGGTAACATGGGCTCTGTTCAGCAGAGAGAAAGGTCTGAATTGAATATCACAAACTGAGGTCAGTGCTCTGAAGGAAAGGGCTAGAGTCCCGGGAAATCTGGCCTTGGCTAGGATTCAGGGAGGGCTTCCTAGAGGAAGCAATGTTGTATAGGTGGGATTTTAAAGGCTGAATTAGAGTTTCCTGGTAAGTTTCTTGGAAAGGAAAGTGCCCAGATGCAGGTCAGGACCCTGGCTCTGGCCTCCCTCAGAACTTTGAGCTCCACTTCTATACCATCAGGGTCCTGACAGGGAACAGACAGTAGTGCTTTCAAAAAGTGGTACTTTTCCCAAAGAAAAGTTGTGCAAAGGGACTGTTAACAGAGCATGGGAACTGATAATGGGTAGCAAAGAGCAGCAAAAGCAGAAACTTGGAGGGACCAGAGAAGATCAAAGGTGCTCTGGACGCAGCACCCCACACACACCAGGGGTCTGCCTTCTCTACTCTGCTGGAAGACTGTCTACACTTCCCATTAACTGTCCTGATCTCACATAGTCAGGCCCATCCTTGAGAAATGGAAGCTGCAAACAGGTGAGTTTTAATCATAATAATAGCTGGCATGATTATTACTTGCCCTAGGCACTATCTTAAGGGTGAAAGTGGAATTACCTTATTCAATCCTGACAAGAATCTAATGAGATGGACACTATTACTATGATCCTTTGAAAGAACAGGAAATTGAGGCTCAGAGAGGCCAGGTGATTTGCCTGAAGTTGCACAGCCAGTCAGCAGTGGTAGAGAATTTGAAGCCAGTTCTGTCTGATTCTCACGGCCTTCACCCACAGAGCTCCTGAACCAGCATTTGAGATAACTGCCATTCACACTGTCAACAGCTTGCTGAGCTTGGGGGACTGGACAACTGTTATCAAATACCTGCTGCCCCTCCCACTGCACTGCGGTCAGGTGTGTCCATGTGACTGGCTCTGGCCAGTGAAATGTGAGAAATGATGTGTCACTTCACAGAAGCTTTCAGAGCCAGTGTGAGCTTTAGCATGATTACTTTTTCCTCCACCACAATTACTGGTGGTGTCCCAGACAGAGGCTGTCCCGCCAGCCCAGGTCCCGGAGTGACATCATGTGGAACAGAAACACACCCAACCTGTGATGGGCTTGACTTAAGAGCATGAAATACTCCTTTGGTGTTGTAAAAGCCATGAGATTTGGGGTTGTTTGTTACCACAGCATGGCCTGGCTGATCCTGACTAATTCCGAGTCCACCTTCTAATCTCTGGCTGTGTATCTGCTTATTTAAAAAACAAGACTCACAAAAGGGATCACATCTGATGCACTGTATACTGGGCTCAACTCATCTCTTTCACTTAATATGTGCACCTCAACGGCCTACATGTACTGACCTGAAGAATGAGAGAGCAGGGATGAGGGACAGGGCAGCTTCACATGGCGTGGGACAGATGCCAGCACAGGAAAAGGCAGGGCCAGAAGGGAAAGGTGTCTGCAGCCCGGCAGCCTTGTGGAGCTGACCAGATGCTCCTGTGCTTCCAGGCCAAGGCAGGTTCATCAAGGGTTGGCAGCCTCCTAGACTAGCCAGCAGTCTCAAAGGCTTCATGTTAATTACATCTACTGCTGCCTAATTCAAACTCAGCATCCAGGCCAATCCCATCTCCCTTACCCAATGGCTGAACTTAATTCATCTGTAGTTCCCAAGGCTTCAAACACCTGGTCATCTTTGGGTCTCCTTTCTCCAGTGAAGGTGCTAGAAAATCCTGTGGGGGTAAAAAAAATGTTTAGCTGCCCAAAATAAGATTTTATTTTTTCCCCCCTGATATTCACTTTTTAGAAAAACTTCTATTTCAGGTATAACAACTGAGCCACCTGGGCAGGGCTGCCACATAACTTTTTCATGGCGGCAAAGAATCTGGAAGAACTTTACAACGGAGCCGGCCATGTCTCTCTCTGCATTTTTCCACCTGTCCCCACCCTACCTTTGTCTCCTGTTTTGGTGTAAATCTTGGGGATCTTGGGTGTCTTCGAGGAAGGCTGTGGCCTAATGAGAAAACAGACACCAAGAGGTGGTGAGTGGGGATGGCTTACACAGTGCGGCACCTCCTTCCGTGGGCCCCAGCTTGCTGCTCGTAGCCTTAATTCTCTTGTTGACATCTTTCCTCTCCATACCCCTCTTAAGTTGTAAGGCCCTTGTGGGCACGTTCTGTGCCTTGCCCGCTTCCACATCTGCAGAGTCGCTGATGTAGTGCATTGTTCAACGCAGAAGCTCAATAAATGCTCACGGAAAAAATTCATCGATCACTTTTCCACAGTCCCAGCACTGTGCTGAAGGGATTACCAGCATTATCTCCTGAAATTATCCCTGGAGTCCTCCCACAGCCCCAAAGGCAGGCCGCCTATGACCTTCATTTTACTGTTAAGAAAACTGTAGCTCACAAGAAAAGACCCGTCTTGCCCCAGGGACTCCTGCTCAAGGCTATTCTACTCCAGATCCCAAACTGTTGCTTCCCCTCGACCCAAACTCTGACCCTCTGCTCCACCAAGTCTGGGCCCCTGCGAGGGACAGACACGTGGGCCACTTTCTTTCTAGGAAACTTCAAGATACTCGGAAATAAAAGAATTGCCAAAACAAGGCTCATAAACTGGCACTGTCAAGCAGCAGCGTGACACCTTTAATAGGCCTCAACGTTAACAGATGACACTACAAGATTATTCAAGATTAAATTGCTGGATCTGTGAATAATATGGCCCATTATGCATTCGTGCTACTCTACAGGTTTTGAGGTCCGGAAATGGGGTGCGAGTTTGACGGAATATGATGACAGCCACGGTCTGATCATGTGCTGCACCTCTGAAAGTATAAACTGCTTTGGGGATCGGTGAAAATCTGAACTGAGGCCCCTCCTGACTGTACAGCCAGGCCCACGTGGGATTGCCCTGCCCTGCCCTGCCCTGCCCTTCGTTCGGACTTTTTTGTGCAAAGAAATCTCGTTCTCTGGCTTCCACGGAGCCTACACTGTCATGGGGCAGGACGGAGGACATCACCTGGCAGGTGCCCTGGTTACCTCAGCGGTGTGACGTAATGACGGCGACGACACCACAGCTCCAGGTGTCGGGGTTACCTTTCCAGTCAGGCACTTACCTGTCCCCGTCTTCCACGCCCGGGGAACCGCGGCTCTGGAAACGGGGACAAAGTAACCTGCCGGCCCCGAAGCACCCGCGAAGGCCAAGGCGGCCCCGCAGGACCCACACAGCCATGCGCCCAGCGGCTGGTTGGAGTTGACCCCGCCAGGCTCCCGTCCAGGTCCCGGGGTGACTCCACCTCCCGGCGGCCGCGCCATCGCTCAACCGCTCTCTCCCATTGGTCCGTGGCCCTCGGCCCAGGGCGGGACGCCCCCAGGGGATCCCTTCCCATTGGCTCAAGGAAGGAGCTGGGCGGGGAAACCCGTGACGACTTGGTTGGACGGCACCTATTGGCCAATGCCCACGCGCTCTGATTGGCTGGCGGAAGGGAGAGGCTCGCGCGCGAGGGGAA